AGGCGTGAGCAAGACAGAAATAGTTGGAACAAGCTTGAACGAGCAGAGCTCTCGATGGGCGGTCTTAGGAGATCGGCTAGAACTGTACAGTACTAGACGAAAATGTTTAGCAATTTCTTAAAACAAAAATGTATATGAATTAACAATAGAAAACAAAGCAAGAGTTTTATAGGTGTATAGAACGTTAAGTGAATTCACTTGTTATTATTTTTGGTTAAACATGTTTTAAATAAAGCATATTCTAAAATTTTAACGAGGCAATTTAAATAATTTTGCAAATGGTACTGTACACTTTTGTCTAGTTCTCGCTCGATGATCGGTGGAGAAATGAGCTCCGCAGACAAATATGATTGAATTTGGAATTATGCTACGGCGCATCCTAATAAAGGAAAGGGGCATATCTCTAACTTCTTGAAACGAACCGTACTCATGAAGTATTTCCTAACTTAACAAGGCCGTGTTCAAGACGCAACAAATGACTACAGTCCTAAGTGGAAACAAAAAATGTTCTCACAGATAATTTATTGCGGACTACCAATTTTGATCGTCTCAACTGTCGTTGATGGTCTAGCCCTCTTCATCTCTTCCCGAAAAGGAGAAAGATTGCGACACCAGCAAGCTTTTGGTACGTGTAAATTAGTTGTTAATATCTTAATATTGTAACTTATGGCCCAGTTTTGAAGGCATATGTTGCCACTAGTGATTTTTCAATTTATGAATTAAATTACCAATATTAAGATTGTGTATTTCTTTGGTAAAATATATTCATTCGCATTAACTTGACATAAACAGATTTTAATTCTGGAATTGACTTCATCGGTATCTATGTATTTCAATGAAGCTTTTAGTTAACTTTTATTCTCTAATTATCCAAATACATTTTTCTGTGTAGGTTATTGTTACTTGGCGCTTTTCCAATTTTTTTCAGTACAATGTATCAATCCTTTGTTTAATATCCTATGAACGAAAGCTATGCGGATTCCCTTATCAAGAAGATTTTCATTTATCCACCACGTTTCATGACTTTAATAAGCAGTTTTGCGATCTACCTGCACCATCCTCATGTAACAAATCTTCCCCTTATTCTAATATTAGGTACAAGTTTTGTCAGCAGGTGGTGATCCGAATTGTAAATATTGTTAACCAGCTTTTCCCGACGGCTTCCCTCCCAGAAGTTAATATTGTTTCTCCATAAAGCATTTTAACTCCCAATTCACCCTTACAACGTTTTAATTTTATGTAATGTCGCCATCTTAGATTTCAAATACAAACGTAGCAACAACATTTCATCTTTAAGGGTTGATTTTTAAAAATTGCCATTTGCTTAATTTCAACAATGAGCAACCTTCGAGTAAATCCGAGTACAAATAAAATATGCCCTATGGAAACGTTGCAACCACTTTTCATTTGAATAATAATATCAAACAGTATATATACCCAGTTTCAAGTAAATTCAACCACAAATAAAGTATGTCCCAAACAAAAATTGCAACACCTTTTTACCCTACCCCTCGGTTCAATTTTTTAAAATGTCGAGATAGGTCTTTCAGAAATTAAATCAGAGACCATTAAAGTCAAGTTTCGAGTAAACCTGACCAAAAATAATGTATGTTTCATTTAAACATTGCAACTCCTCTTCACCATCCTTCCCCCCAGCAGAGATTGAATTTTTTATCCAGTTTCAAGTAAATCGGACCAAAAACAAACATGCAATCTTTGCAAACCCCTTTCAGCTTCCTAAAGAGGTAGAATTTTGTAAAATGTTGAAATAGGTATGAACAGGTATGACACTAATTTTTTAAGGAAAAGCATTAATGCCAAGTTTTAGGTAAATCTGACTATAAATAAAACTCCATACTTAATCATAGACAACATTACGTTTAGCAGTCAGTTGCGTTTCGTTATTCCATATCAATTGTGTTTTTGTTATACCATTTTTAACAAACGAACGGTCAGAATGATTTTTTAACTGATAAAAATTTTTCGTTTTGCTGTCAGTTGCGTTTTCTTATACCACGTTTTTTTTCCCACGGGAACGGGATATAAAGTATCCTATGTCCATCTCTTGGTTCTATGCTACCTCCCCACCAATTTTCAGTCAAATCGTGGTAGCCGTTTTTGAGTTATAAACAGTGTAACTAAAACGACTTTCTTTTATATATGTTACATAGATAGATTTAAATCAGAATGAGACGGCTTGGATATATGAAACGAAAAATTAAATTAAATCAATATAGCGGTTATAAGACGTTCTTTCGGGTGCACCTGCGCCTGTCCACTTGAATGAGAAGCACTAGGTACTTAAAATGGAAGTCGACCAATATATGACCGTTTATAAAATTGCGAATTCCTTATGAGGCGATAATGGAAAGCCTTTGAAGATAACTGATTTTTTGCGTACTTAAAAGTAAGAATTTACTTACATTAAGTACTAAAACCAATGTATTGCATTTTCGATAGTTTTTAGACCGACGCGACGGTATAAAAATATATCTACTCAATGACAAAATTTGTTTAATTTGCCTTGAACTTTTAGAAAATGTCTTGTGAGTATTCCATTCATTGAATGTATTTAAAAAAGACACTCACATGTTCGACCTCTACTTCACTACATGCGCCTGGACTTACCTGAAAAAGAAAAAAAAACATTTAGATACTTAAAAGTAAGCAAGCAGCATTTTTTAATACAAAAGCTTTTCAATTCATTACTATGCTTATGCAGTCATTTACGTTATTACAGATGTGACATAATGTCTGTAATTTCCAAAATTATATTTTTGATTTTCCCGGAATTGTATTTACGTAACCTTCAAAACAATTGCATTTGTTATGGTTCCAGGATATATTGGGTCAACTTTGCGAAACGCAAAACCGTTACACGGAACCTATGCATGAATGCGCGGTCAATCTGGACCTAGACAAAATTCCAAAAGTTCCATATGACGATGACGAAAACAAGCACTATGTGAGCTCCTATAATGAGCAAAGGTAAAGAAAAAGAAAGAGATGAATCGAAGCGGGCATGAAGTCAGGAGGAAGAGGTGATCTATTAATCCATATGGTCCGGGAATTGCCTGGTACATCATAAACTAGCGTTGAGTTGACGATTGCAACCCAGTACCGAAATTTCCCCTTAGAAATCGAATCACCGGATCCCCATACAGCATAAACCGGAAGTCAAGGAGGAGTGAAGGTACGATCGTTTAACTTTATCTCCCTCAGTGGCTCTTGTCTCCTACATAATATTTTGCTGTTTATTTATACTTATTGTTAGTCGTTTATTGTCTTTCAGCATAAACTGACTTATTGATATTTTCGATAAATTTATAATATATTATGTTGAATATATATAATATAAAAAAGAAAACAGGTGTTTTAATGATAAACCGCTTCTACGCCAAATTAATTAATAACGACGGATTCAACAAGAAGTGCATGTTGTTGACAGTTCCGACAGAACACAAACCAAATCTTGTTAAATTTTAAATGTTAAACGCCATCTCTAGTATATCCTTACGGACTTTAAATTCCACTAAAGGTAGCAATATACTACAGATGGCAGTTACCATGGTGATTCCAGTAATTCATATAACGCTGTTATAAAAGCAGCAGGTCGAGTTGGTTTGTGTTTTGTCGGAACTGTTTACGACGTAATAAGAAGACCTAAGAAGATCGAAATCACGATTGGTGTCCGAGGGTTCCGATGCAATTACGACCAGTAGGTATACTTCATTTACTTTCTCTAGCGATGTGCCCCTTCCAATGTATTGGATGCGCGTTGGCAAAATCGTAGGTAGGGAGAAAAAAGCTCATTATACTCTCGATTCTTGTTCATTAAACATACTTTTTCATACAGTACCAGCCAAAAGTTTTGTTCAAACATGAACAGTAGTGCGAGTCGAAAACAAGCGTTAAAGCCTCTAATATGCCTTCAAATATAAATAAACATCCAGTTCATATTTTCAGTAGTAAATGGTACCAATAACAGCACATTTGAGCATTGGAATTTTAGTGGATAAAATGGTCAGTTTTTCCGTACAGTACTGTAAAGGATTATACGCTGCTCACCGGTTAAGAGTTTAGCCGAGAGTTGTCTCCTTCCGTTTCTGGCCTAGTACTGTTCTTTTCTACCTTGCGAAGGTCACATCGCTACGGAAACTAAACGAAGTATACATTAACTCTTTGTTTTGTTTAGGTACGTGCCTATCATGTAGAGTTAACTACGGCGTGCATACAATTCGACAGGTTGATATTCTTATGTACCTTGTTGAATATTTTTAAATCGTGATTTTGACAAATCACCGACTAAAATCGAAAATGCTCTATATAAGCTTGTTTATACCTAAAATTTTATGTTATGAAAGTCACGTGCACAGGGTGTGATTGTATTTATATTCAACCTGTAAAAAACTTAAACATTTGGGTGTTTCATTCCCACCAGCCAGTAATGCTGGTGGGCGGGCAGTCCCTCCGGACTACGCCGGAAGGTAGAGTGGAAGGCCCTCTTCAGCCTGCTTTCATGAATCGTGGGAATGGTTGGGTGGTGGTTCGGGTGAGAAAGATGAGACGGACGCAATGAAGACAGAAGAGAGTGAAAGATTATCTGTGAAATATTACTGCCTCAGCATTTGCCTAAGTGATCCAAGGAAACCACAGAAAAACTTGGACCAAGGCAGACGGACCCGGAATCGAACCGGCGTCCTCCCGAATGCTAAGCAATGGTCTAGACCTCTAGGCCATGCCGCTCGCTTTTCAACCTGTATTCGAATTCAGATATTTGTGCATCTTGAGTTGTAATCTAGTTAGATGTTTATTTATTTTGTACATTTGACAAACAGTAAAATAGTGTCAATCACATTAACAGTAGTTATAAAAATCGAAATGGACATCGAAGAGAAGCAGTGCATATTTCCGCCTATAGTTTCTCCCAGGAAATTAAAATACACCGGAACGTACAGTTTCAAAAAATCTTCTGGCAAGGAAGAAAGCGAAATTACTTTAAAACATGCGTTGTTTGAAATGGATGCCACTTTTCATGAATTACAAAGGTCGTTCGATGACTTCAAGTATGAGCTGGAAAATGGAATCAAAAAATCAAAAGCTTTGGAAAAGTATACCGGCCTAATTGAGGAAATTCACAACGAAGTTCCACTTCTTCAAGGTAAAGATATTGAAAATTCTTCAACAATTGGTGAATGCAAAAAGCTAAAGGAACATAGCGGTGGTAAAGGAAGAAAGATAATTACCTACACTGACTGGTTTAAAAGGGAAATGGAAACGGGGAAGGATGAGGAGAGATTTTCCAAAGAATACGAAAAAACAATCAAAAAAGAACTACAAGTTATTTATCAACTCGATAAGCAAATAAAGGAAGTAGAAAAATCATTTAAGGAAATGAAAGAAGAAAACACTCTTTGTGGAAAATGGGAAGTAATCCAGAATTTATCAAAAAATTCAAACTATCAGTCAGGTAGTAAACTTTTCAAGCGCTTTCGCAATATGGAGGTAGATGAATTGGGTTACGAATGTGAAAGTAAATACGATCACCTAGAAGAGGAGACTGTACTACAGCCTGTTAGAGACTTTAAAGAGATTGAAAGAGCAGAGAAACCTAACGAAGAGGAAACAGAAACAAAATCTGAACAAAACAGATCTGTCCAAGAAATTCATGAAAATAAAACTACAGAAGAATCTAAAGAAGATACAGTAATAGAACACAAGTCAAAGAACGACGATTCACAAAAAAGTTACTGCCAGTCATTTATTCATCGTAATATTGAATTGGCTAAAAGTTACTCCACTGTTTCCGTTCCTCTGACCGATGAAGAAAAGAGCCGTCTAGAAACTTTGTTATCTGAAATTGACGAGAATGAAGATGTAGTAAATCCTTATCAATTGGAACAACTTAATTCATCCTGTAACCAACAAATGTGTACAGCTGACAAATCCAAGGTGAAAACTAAAGAAAGACATTCCCTTCAAACTGAGAATGATGAAGCCAGAGTTTTTCCAAATGCTTTCAGACTTTCAGATGAAGATCAAAAAGCTTTAAATGAAATAGAACGCAAGCTTAGTGGAATATCTGGCACAAAGTCAACATTGAAATTGGACGAAGAAGCTGAAATAGAGGAAAAGATATTAGAAGATGAGAAGCATGGAAAACTTTGGAAACATGAGCAATTGCAACTGCGTTTAGATCAAATAGAGCAACGTCTAGCTAATCTTACAGCAATTGAAGCTAACGATGGTATTACAAATCCACAAAATGAAAATGGCGACGATTTAGAACCTTCTACAACTACCAGCGATAACAGTTCAACTCATGAAAAGAATGACACTTCGTAATCAACATTTACAATTTCGTTATATTTTAATTCAATAAATTAGTGTTTTTTGATCAAAGGTGGAAATGTAACTTCTGTATGAACAGGAACATGTTTTTTTCGAGCATTGGTCGCATGCAATCGATTTTAAAAAAGAAACTGACGTAACCAAACCCATCCCTAACTTAATTTAATACAGTAACAATCTGTTCTTTGTCTTCTTTTTGTAGAAAATGAAATACTGCTAAAATTGACGTTCTAAACAAACATCACACTGTTACTACTAATGTGATTAAACCATGTGGGCAAAATAAACTTGAAAATAAGCTAGTAACTGATGCCAATTCTGGCATATATTTAAGTCAACTCTATATACATGTCCCTTAAGATCTTTGTTATTGCTAGACAATTCTGCTCTGAAATGAACTAATCGTCCGATTTTTCGATATAATGACGGATGTGTACATGTATTTTACATGTAACATATTTCTGCAATGTTCTTTAACCTTAACACAACCTATCAAATTCATATTCGATCTTACTACATTGGTATTTCACTTTGAATTCCTACATTACTACAATGTGATCGGAAATACACCTTAGAACAATGCTGGCATACCAAACATCTTATTGATTGAGTTTGGTTCAACACTCACAAAGTTTCTTTTCTCCAATAAATTCTTATATACGGAGCGATTCGTTAATTATGTTGGAAGTTTGGAATGAAAAATAAAAATACGTTGTAGGTGAAGCCCGCAAACGTGTAAGAAAATACAGTTTTTTGAATTGAGGTTTGGAAAACTGCACTGATTGTGTCAACGTAAAGTTTCAAAATTGGAGCGCCGGTTGGAAGGTGGGGACGCGCTTAGATGAATATGTTACGGAAATAACAGACCTATTCTTTCAGAATAACCCCCACCTCCTTTCTTAAATTGTTAGTATACGAGGGTGGATTGATAAGTTTCCGGCCTGACCAAGAAAAACAAGGTTTTTAAAAATTTTTTTTTTTTATTTTTCAACATAATCTCCTCCAAGGCTGATACATTTCTCATAGCGGTGTTCCAGTCTATTAATGCCATCTCTATAGACTGATTCGTCAAGCTCCTCAAAATAACCATTTACAGCTTCGATTACTT